TAAGTGGGGTCATAATTATATATATATATATATATATATATATATATATGTGTATATATTATACATATATTTGTTTTTGTTTTTTTTTCAACTATTTTTTGTTTTTGAAAAAAAGACTCTGATGCTCACCAAGGCTGCATTTGTTTGATAAAAATACAATAAAAACAATAATATTGTGAAATATTAATATAATTTAAAATAACAGTTTTCTATATTAGTGTATGTTTGAGAAAAGCACAATATAAATAAAATGCATCATCATCATCATCAAAATAATTTATTCCTGTGATGGCAAAGCTGAATTTTCAGCATCATTACTCCAGTCTTCAGTGTCACATGATCCTTCAGAAATCATTCTAATATGTTGATTTGCTGCTAAAGAAACTTTTCTTATTATTATCGATGCTGAAAACAGTCCTGCTTGAAACATGGTACAATTTTTCAGGATTATTTAATGAATAGCACATTCAAAACAACAGCATTTATTTCAAATATAATTTTTTTTGTAACATAAAAAAAAATTTTACTGTCACTTTGATTAATTTAATGTGTAGCATCATTGCTCCAGTATTCAGTGTCACATAATCTTCAGAAATCTTTCTAATATGCTGATTTGCTGCTCATGAAGCATTTCTTATTATTATCAATGTTAAAAGCATTTGTGCTGCTTAATAATTTAGCATTAGCATTCTTCTTCCATATTCTTTAATGCATATTACATTCAAAACAACAGCATTTATTTCAAATATAATTTTTTTTGTAACATTATAAAAAATTTTACTGTCACGTTTGATTAATTTAATGTGTCCTTGCTAAATAAAACTATTAATTTCTTTAAAAAAATAAATCTTACTGACCCCAAACTTTCTATTATATCTGTTTTGGGAAGCACTCCTTCAATTTTTATCTTTCAAAGTAGGATAATAGTACGTAAAGCATGGAAAAAGCCAAAGTGAATGTAATGAATTTTTAAGATAGAACCTGAAGGAAAACAATTAGAAAAATATGTAAGGTTGTGTGGATTTGTGTGTCTGTGTGGCAGAGAGAGAGTGAATGTGTCCTTGCAGAAGGTTCTTAAGTCAAAATAATAATAGTCTTTAGCACAAGAGCAACAAATTTACGGCAGCCTCGTAAAGCCCAGCGGCCCAATTACAGTTAGGAGCGCAGTTACAAGAGTGTGCACAGCTGCTTATAGCACACACACTAACAGATGAATTCTCTGAATCATCCATGTTGGAAATATTTGTCATAACTGTCATTTTTGAACAGATCAGACTCTGTTAAAAGGAATTTGAATAATCTTTGTTCATGCTAATTTGTATACAAACACACACACCAGTTGTTGATAATGAACACTTCAGTTGTTGTGATCAAAGTGCAGTCACTGGAGGACTGGAACTATCCCAGAAATCCCTGGAATGGGGTGGGATGAGGACTCATAAATTAATGAAAAACTAAGTAATCTCCTATAAAAATAACGCACATACACACTAAAGTGCAGTTTAACACAACAAAAATGTTAACACACTTTTCTCAGGCATTCCATTTATAATGATCTCCCTGTTCCCTTATGCATGGTACTTTAAAGAATACTATGGTACATGTCCATCACAGCTGGATCATATATGCTGAGAATCATATCCCAAAAATATATAAATATATATTTATAGTATAGTATTCATACTATTTATGCATTATGTAGTATGTATAAGTCAAGTCAAGTTACCTTTATTTATATAGCGCTTTTAACAATACAGATTGTGTCAAATGGCCGTCTAGGAGACAAGGTCTTCACTGGGTATCTGTCTCTGGGGCTCATCTAGTTGTCCTGGTCTCCGCTGACATTCAGGGCTGTCGAGGTCATCTCTAGGTCCTGATCCACCATTCAATACGTACTGGATCCGGGTGACTGCAGTGACCATCTGATCTGGATACAGACTGGATCTGGTGGCTACGGTGACCTCGGAATAAGAAAGAAACAGACTAATATTAGCGTAGATGCCATTCTTCTAACGATGCCATTCTTATAACAGTAGGTCGTGTAAAGTATGCAAATTGTTTGTCTAGACATAGCACCCAGATCATAAATATTTTAACAAAAAAAAATTAATTTATATTTTTATTCAGCAACCATGCATTAAGTCATTGATTTAATTTAAATGATAATTTGTCTAAGATGACAGTAAAGACATTTACAGACATTTAATGTTACAAAAAATATTTCAAATAAATGCTGTTATTTTAAATTCTCTATTAAAAACTCATGGTTTCAAATCAATACTAAGCAGCAAATCAGCATATTAGAGTGATTTCTGAAGGATCATGTGACACTGAAGACTGGAGTAATAATGCTGAAAATTCAGCTTTGCATCACAGAAATAAATTACATTTTTAAATATTATAATTAATAATGCATTGATAATTGTAATATGATCATCATAATTCTCATTTGTAAGTCGCTTTGGATAAAAGCGTCTGCTATATGATTTAATGTAAGTGTAATTCTAATAGAAAAGGTTACTTTTTTGATCAAATAAATGCAGCTGTGGTAAGTATAAGAGATAAAAACATCTTACCAACCACAAACTTTTACCATGAAATGTTTCTTAATGTTTTACATTCTATTTTTAATAAGTATGCACTGCAGTACGTAATAAACTAGAGTTCCGTTCTTGACATACTGGGACTCCTAGTGAAGTAGTAACCAGTAATCTGCCTAGAATAATAACCTATAGCAAGGGGCCCAGAATGCCTCTGTGTGTGTCCTGTTTGTATTATGTTGTCTCTCATGTCTTGGTTCTGTGGTTCCAAAATGAGGTCAGACGTCCTCATGCCTCAGGCCACATGTCTTCTAGTCTAGTCTTTGACCTCTGAACTATTAAGGCACAACTCAGCGTGTGTGTGTGTGTGTGTGTGTGAGTAAAACACTTTCTCTGGCTTCCGTAATCACAGAGTCTGTAGGCTTTGGGCTGCTAAAAACTAGTACTTTCTCTAATGAAAGGTGTGAGGGTGTGTGTGCTTGCGTGTGCCTGTGGGTTTGCAGTGTATTTTTAATGTAAATAATAATACTGTCCATCATAAAGCCTATCTTTCTTTCAGAGTTCACTGCTGGGACACAGCACATGGGTGCTAAGTTAGGGTGACCATATGTCATCTTTACAAGTCCTGGCCGGGATTTCTAAAGTGCCTTAATGTCTTTTGTCTTCATAATTGTTGAAGGTAATGATTAAAAAGTAGTTTGACCAATAGCGTGCAGTTATTGTAGATAACCAACCAATTGGAGCATGTGAGAAGGTAGGATCTAGAGAACGGTCGAAGCAATGCAAATAAGCATACAAATAATGTATGAGGACTGTAGGGAGCTTGTCAATAGGAAAGTAAAGCCAAAACCTGGACATTTTAGGCAATTTAGAAATCCTGGCCAGGACATCACTCTAGCTAAGTATGTCACGCGCTGCGTCACGCGTGTTGGTCTAGTGGAAATCTTAAGAAGGAGATTATTGGAGGGTTTTGAGGACATTTGCATGGCTGTCATTAGAACTGTGGAATGTTTGCATGAGGAGGATTATGGGGTCTTGCAAACGCAGGTATTAGCCACATATCTTCTGACCTCGCGTCTTCAAATAAATGTTTGTTTATTCAAGTAAGTTCACCAGAAATATCCCCTTTTTTTATTATGAGATGACATAAATCTGATTTTTTTTTTGCATGTGCATTTACACTTGTGCATTTTGCTGACATTTTTATCCAAAGCGACTTGTTTTTATCAGTTCACAAACTTCCTGAAAATCGAACCCATGATGACCATGGCGTTGCTTGCTCTAGTCCAGCGGTTCCCAATTCCAGTTCTCACGCCCCTCCGCTCTGCATATTTTGCATGTCTCTCTTAGTTAACACACCTGATTCAGATATCGAGCTCGTTAGAAGTGAGCTACGTACATGAACTGTGTTCCAATTGACATGGTCCCTACACATGTCATTGTGTTCATTGCTCCCTATTCCCTGAGCAGGGGAAATCCGTTGAAGTTTACTTCACTTCAGAACATCCATTCATGGATTTGCGCTACACCATGGCCTGCAGCGTCTTCACACACACAGACGAGTGTGACATCACAGACATCATATACCTCTGTGAATAAATACAATTTAAATTCACATCTTGCACACTTTTAATGCCCTTTGAATGGAACATATACACTCGTTTCGAACTGGAATCATGGCGGAATTGTCTTACACGACTACATTCCAAAACAGCAGGCATCCACCTCCGAAAGCA